GTCGGGGAGAGATGCATTGAGCCATGTTTCACAGACAAATATAATGTTGGTGCATGAACAGTGATGATGGCATATTGACCCAAGTCAGGGTCTTTCAGAATTCTTCAGGATAAAGATCCTGTTAGTTTAAAAAAAATCCTAGATTCCTTGATCAAGAGGAAAAGGTCCATCTAGAAAATAAGCCAACATTCTCCCCTAAGGCTTAGAAAAATTGCTATCAATGCTCCTGGCTGTGTTTAATTGAATTTTCCCCTACCCCCAAGTCTATTAAGCAACTCATCAAGTTCTTGTGGAATCCTAGGGTTTCCCAGAACACAATTTGGAAAACCTCAACCTTGTTAATTAACCAAGGTATTTAAACTCTGTTTTCCTATAACATCTCATAAGTTATAATGGGTGGGGTAATACACTGAAGTGATTTCCCCACGAGTGATTTATAACACCCGCATAACAAGTCATTATTAAAACGATGTAAATTATTTCTGAATTACTGTTATTTTGGCACCAATCAATGCTGCTTTATGTTAGTAGTGCATATATAACCTAAGTCAAACAAGCACAAAGTCACAGTAACAAAAAAGGAAGCTTATGGCTTGGCATGCTTTATAAATATCAGTTTTAACCTCCATAAGTTCTGAAGTTTGACTTCATGAATCATATGGCAGCCATAGGTAGGAGGTCCTTTGCATAGCTTTAGGTTGGATGTCAGTGGCTCCTGTTCCTGGATTGGGGGACCCTCATCCTAGTCCCTCATATCCCTGTGATCTCCAGGCTGTGCTATTGCATGGACTATTGCTCTATGTGGGGCTGCCCTTGAAGAGTATTTGAAAGTTTCGATTGATACAGAATGTGGAACATTGGCAATTTCTGGTGCTAGTTATTTGGCACATGTGACACCCCTGCTCTGCAAGCTGCATTGGCTTCCATTTATTTCATAGTGCAATTCAAGGTTTAAAGTTTTAATGGCTTAGGACTGGGTTACTTATAGGATTGTCTCTCTCCAATTGTTTCTATATCCTATGTCAGTTTGGCCTAGTGGTTAAAGCACCAAGCTGGAAACCAGTACATCATGTACTGTTTCAGGCATGAAAATTTGGGTGGACACCTTTGGGCCAGTGACTCTTCTCTTAGCCCAACTCATTTCACAAATGTCTTGTTGTGGGGAAAATAGGAGAAGGAGGGCATAGTAAGTACATTGACTGCCTTGAGTTTTTTTAAAAAATAACATTAATAAAGATGGGATTAAAACAAATATTTAAAAAAGAGCATCCTCATGTTCAGTGTGATGTCAGAGCAGGATGGAAATACATCTGCAGTGATGTCACAGAAGAAGTGCTTGATGTGTTCCAGTTTAACTGGAAAGATAATAGTGTTTGTATTGTGGCATTTAGCACCACAAAGGAATAGGATATAATTATCAAGAGAGTAAAAACTCTTTCTGAGCCTCAATTTTCACCAGTTTGCATTTACTTAAACCTAGTCCCATTTGTCATTAGGTTGACCATTCGCCCAATTTAAATTGATCCTTCTTGAGCTCTTCACAACTTGGAGTTCTTGGATAATGCAGTATAATCGACAAGCTTGTCTGGTTCATTGCTTATCTATAAATCAAAATCTTTTATGACATGCATCAGAGAGGGTAGCAGAAAGACTCCGAGTTAATTACATGGTGGTATTTTCTATGCCAGTAGGCATTGCTATCATATGGCAAAGAAAGAGATGGTAGTTCTTTCAGTAGGTCAAGTGGAAGTTGTTGTGATACAGAAATATCATAGTGAAGAGGAAGATTTTGTTACGTGGTCTCTTTCAAGCTCTACTCAGTCAACACAGCAGTTGTTATAATCCATGATTCTGAATCTAGAGTCTGACTCTGACCTGGAATCTGACAACGTTGCTCCAGCTGAGCCTGTCCTTCAGGATACTCAGCCTCAGGAATCAGGAAGCCAGGATTCAAGTGAGGATGATCAACCATGGTAATCTTCTGTTCAGGTGGAGCAGTCAGATGACGAGGCCCAACCCCTAAGACCCAGGTCTAGGCAAATCGAGATGTAAGCAGAGCAACATTCCTTAATGAGGCTTCTCTCTAAACATAGGGCAAGACATATGTAAGTGCAGCCAGCTGGCTACAGAGATTTAAATAGCTCCTTTGCTCACAGTCTTTGTTGGAGATAACTTTTTGATTTCTGAGCTTTTGCATCTTATTCATGACTCAGCCATTTGGACTGACTGACTACCCAATTTGGCATTCTGTGACTCTTGGGTGATATTTGGACGATGCTATTATTTCTTAGGCTGTATTCGGCTCTCTTCAGGCAAGCTCTTTCACTAGGCATTTGAGTCACATTGCTGTCTGATCATTTTGCAACGTGGGGATTATAGCAGTGATGGATGCTTACCAAGGCAACTGAGTTGATCCATAAGATAGGGGAGATGAGGAACATTAGATAACCAGTCTAGTGATTTTGTCTTTTAATGGAGGCAGAGGAGTATACCCTTAAGTCTCTTTTTCATCTGAATAATAATGCTTTCCCTTTACGCCAATGTAGGCAATCTGCAGGACACCTTCAGTCAACTCTGTTTCCTTTGTGGCATTCTAGCATGCTGAGATCACCTCACTGAGATCCAGCAGGAAAATGATTGGTTTTTCAGTGGTATGATTTTTGGTAGGCAAATCTACTTCATATATATTCAATCTCTCCCTGTAATGACCTAAAATCATGCCACCAAATATCACTGGTGTGCAATTGTGCACCTTTTAAAATGATTAAAAACCTGGGGGCCCATAATCTGGCATTATATCACCAGTCATTTTATATTGTCAATCTGTGAGGTTTTCTACAGGAGTGGTTTTACCATTACTTTCTCCTGTGCAGCATCAAATGATGTATGTGCTGTTGTTGCTAAAGAGGATCATTTTCCTCCAGAATCTTCTTGTATCCTTATAGAGGGGCCCACTTGGCAGCTGGGATGACCTTCACATTCTGGTGACCCTTCTGGGACAATACAGGTAGTGCTCGATCTACGACCACATTTGAACCCAAAATTTATGTTGCTAAGTGAGACATTTGTTAAGCGAGCTTTGCCCCATTTTACGACCCTTTCTTGTCACAGTTGTCAAGTGAGTCACTGCAGTTAATAAGTTAGCAACATGGATGTTAAGTGAATCTGGCTTCCCCATTGACTTTGCTTGTCAGACGGTCACAAAAGGGGATCACATGACTTTGGGCCATAGCAACGGTCATAACTATGAACCAGTTGCCAAGCACCTAAAATTTTACCACACGATCATGAGGATGCTGCAAAGGTCGTGTGAAAAACAGTCATAAGTCTCTTTTTTAATTGCCGTTGTGGCTTTGAACGGCCACTAAATGAATTGTTGTAAGTTGAAGGCTATATATATGCCTGGCATAAACAACTGGAGTTGTCTGCTCTTCCCTCCTAGGAACATTCTGTCCCACCCTCCTTGCACAATGAAGCAGCATATCAGTAATGTAGGGGGAATCATTCTCATATAGAACTCTAAAACGTTTCTTCTAGTATTTCCTTCCTCCAGTTTCATTCAAAATAATTTCATAATTTTAAATTTGAATTCCTAGAGGATTCTTGTTTCTCCCTCACTACTCACTACCCCATTCCTCCTTCTCTCCATCCAAACCAGTGCACTTTTCCCTTTCTTTACTATTCTTAACTATTCCTTGTTTTATTTCAGTTCCTGTTTTTCTCTTTATAAACATTATATCAGTGTATCTTCATTACTTTTTTTTTCAGCAATGGTTCCTTTGTTTGCATTTTTTCTTAGCCACAGCTTCTTTCACTTTCTCATTCTACACAGTTTTCCCCCCCATATCTTCTAGAAGCATAATCCCACACAATCCCTCATTAAGCAGATATTTAAAAGTTAACATTCCCCCCTTCTCTACTTTAATATTTCAAAATAATAAGTTATGTCTTGGATATACAACACAATCCTCTATGTATATGCTTTCTTGGAAGAAAGTCACCCTGTTCGGTGCCCAATGCAATTTGTAATTCTCAGTATGAGAAAGTGTTATTATGCCTGAGCAGAAACCCAGTTCTTTCTCACTATTCTTTTCAGTGCTTCCTTCACCTCCTTATTCCTTAGGCTATAGATGACAGGGTTTACCATAGGAATCACTACTGTATAAAAGACAGCAGCAACTTGGTCTTGTGCTTCAACGTCACTTGAGGAAGGCTTCAGGTAGATGAAAAGAATGGTGGTGTAGAACAAGGTAACAGCCATCAAATGGGAGCCGCAGGTAGAGAAGGTCTTCTTCCTTCCCCCGCTTGAGTGGATCCTTTGGATAGCAGTGATAATGTAGACATAAGAGATAAGGATGATGAAGAATGAGCACAGTCCTATCAGCGAAGAGATGACAAAAAGCAGAATCTGGTTGAGTTGAGTGTTTGAACAGGCAAGCTTCAGAATTAAAGGTACATCACAAAAAAAATGGTTTATGACATTGGAGCTGCAAAAGGGAAGGCGAAAGGTAGTGTTTGTGTGTACCATGCCATTGGCACAACCCACAAGGTAGGAAGCCAGCACCAGGCAAATACAAACCTTCTTGGACATGACAGTAGGGTACAATAGTGGGTTACAGATGGCCACATAACGGTCATAGGCCATAGCAGCTAGCAGGAGACATTCTACACTGGCAAACACAGCGTAGAAGTAAAACTGAGCAGCGCAACCAATGAAAGAAATGGATTTCTTTTCAGCCAAGAAATTCACTAGGGTTTGAGGGACAATGACAGTAGAGTAACAGAGATCTGAGAAGGACAGGTTGCTAAGGAAAAAGTACATAGGTGTTTGGAGATGGGAGTCAAGATGAATCAGTGCAATCATCCCTAGATTTCCGAGAAGAGTGATCACATAGATGGCTAGAAACACCACAAAAAGAGAGGAGCTGAGCACTGGATTTTCTGTGAATCCTACAAGGATGAATTCTGATACTGTGGTTTGATTCCATTGGGCCATGGCATTAGTTCAGTAAGCCTGTAAGACAAAGAAGATTGTCAGGTCCAAGCCCAGAGGACACAGGAAAATCCAATCAAATCCAATCTTTTCCTTGCCTGCCACTAATGGGCAGAAGGTTGCTAATGTAGCTATAACCTTCTAATCTAGTAGATATATTCTGAAAGATTATAGGATGAAGCTACCTCAAACTTCTACCCCCCTTCTCCACAGAACTGCATACACTCTTAATTTGGGCTTTTCTCTGAAGGAAAGTATTCCCTCCTCCTTTTGAAAGCTTTGTGATGCCAAAGCTCCACTATGTCTCCAGGTGCACATTCTACCCAAAGACGGATTGACTCATACGCCAGTAAATCTAAAAATGTTGAGGAGTTTAAAATATATAGCTATTATTGCTCATTCTCTTTTATGCTCCTTTTCATTGCAATTTATTAGATATGTTAAAACAACCTAGGGACACATATAATAATTAAAGATGTAAATGTGATGCTGAATTATACTCCAGATACATGGAATCTAACATTTTATGAAGAATTCAGCAAAGAAAATTGTCCTATAGCGATTTTAAAAAAAAGTATGCTCCTGGTATTAAATTGTAAAATTGATAGATGGGTTCTTTTATGAGTTTTGAACATGTCTTTATAATGTACAAATAAGAAGATGGAACACCATGTTTCCATATGGTCTAGATTTAAATATGTTAATGAATTTAGTTATTACAATATTAATATTATATGGCTCATTTTTCCCTTCAGTTTTAGTTCATATTAATGACCATTTTGTATATGTTTATCTGATTGTATTACCACTGTTGCATCATTATTACCGTAGGATATTACAAAATAAATAAGTATCCTCTCCTCAATATGAAATAGATCTTTGCAGGTCTGTCTACATTGTAGTAAACATCAAGATCAAAAAGCATATGTAGAAAAATCAAAGAGCTCACACTCATCATAGTACTGGCACAAAAACATAGTGGAAATAAATAGATGGTAAACAAACTTCAACCAATTTGATTTTGCAAAATTTAGAACACAGATGCCACTTGTTAATTTTTAACATTTTAAATGTATGAAAATGCATTGCCCTTGAAATGAAGAATGTTGTTAGGGAATGAAAGGGAAGCTTTCATGTGTTTAGATTATGCTTAATTGAATTGAATACAAGCATCTACACAACAGACCAAACAATACTGTCCAACAGCTCACTGATAATGGTCCTTAAGTTCATTGTTGAATTCATTAATGAACTATTAGAAGCTCTTAACATTTTATTTTAAAAATCATTACTAGTGAATAGGATAGAAGATAATGCATTCTTTTTGCTTAAAGCTAAGACTACTCTATCCCAACAGGTATCACTACAGCCCATCTATCTGTTGCCTAAAAGAAAATGGCATCAAAAAGCATTTCTCTTCAATTGATGTGTGGTGTCACACCCAGGTCCAAATATATCCGCAGACTGCAGAAAACTTGAGTTTGCAGTGTGGAGAAAAGAAGACTGAAGGAAAATGATCAAGTACATTCAAGAAAATGCAGAGAAAAATGGGCAGGAACTGCTTCTCATGCAGAAACTAAGAGCCCAAGTAACAGGTGGAAGTTGCAGTTATCTGGAACAGTCAAACCATGAAGGTTGTGGGTTATCCACTTCTAGAGGTTTTAAGAAGGGGCTAAACAGCTACTTCTCAATGGCTGAATTGGTATTCCTGCACATTGCAGAAGGTTGGATTAGATGATCTGTATGGCCTCTTCCAACCTTACAATTCTGTTACTCTATGAAAATTGCCCATGCTTAACCTCATCCGAAGGTATAGATAGGCAAACCATTTCTTGTAGGCAATGGATGGACTCCACCCCTAGTTTTTGCAACCTCCTATGATCATCCCTGTTGTTTTGCGATGGCACATATCCCCACACATAGGTATAGCATAGGTATGTTAAATCTTGCAGCTTAATCTTTCCCAATCAATCACAAAGGAGAGAGGAAAAAAAATCCACTTTAAAAGGACCATGCAGCTCTTGACTGGATAAATATTTCCTGCTATTATGGAATCAGCTACAGATGCCACAGCCCTCAGAGCACAATAGCTTGCTCTCCAAGAAAGGACATTGATATTTACCTTCCTCTGAGGAAGATGTTGTGGGGTGACATCTGAGATGGCTGCAACTTAAATCATGGCAACAAAAATCATTCATAAGCATTCTTGTGACTGATTGTAATATCTCCGTGTAGTCTTTTATTTTTATTATATCTATGGAGAGAGATTTGCTCCAGTTCTGAATCAGTGATGTACCAAGCCAAAGCTGTTCTATCTCATGAATTTTAACTGAGTATGAAATATGTTCAGAAGGATCTTAGTTCCTGCCTTGTGCTTATCTCATTATAAATCAGTGGAACTACTTTGGTACATGTTTCAAAGGAGTTGCCATGCTAATCCATTCTAGAAAAAACAACAGATAACAGTCTTTAGAGCAAGCAAATGCTGAAGTGCAGTGTGAGTTCTGACAAACTGTTACTCATCATCGCATAGTCACTACAGGTTTCTGTTAGTTTTTTTTAAGCATTGCATTTTTTTTCATCTGAGAGATCTCATAGGATTAATTCTCCTGAATCCTCTGAAAAGTCCGGTGGGATGACAACAGAAACTAAATATTCAGACTGCTAACATAATTATTCCATAGGTTTAAGGAATTGCAAAGTTTGTGACATTGCTCAAATTAGATTGTTAAAGGAATATTTTGCAAAGACTTATTTATTCTGACATTCACATTCATGTTTAAAAACTAATGTTGAGACCTATTTCTTTTTAAATGGGCATGTTGTGATTGTTATTGAAAATATCTAAGAGCAAGTCTTTGGACTTTTCTCTTTGTCTTCTCACCTCACATTTCTTCAGGCCGTGCCTGATTCATTTCAAGTAAAGAACTAAGACTGGAATTTGGAATAGATGGTTCTGGGATTCTGAAGGAATTTTTCTCCAATAATGCCATGCAACATCCCTTCTTCCATTCCTTCTACAAGACTGAGCTGAGCTGACAATAGAATGTTTAACATTGACATTGCCCTCAATATCTCCATCACTCTTTGTAGGCACTATACTAATTTAGAATCCATGGGTCAGATTTCAGGGTATCTCCAATATCTTGCTAATGCTTCCCTGGAGGAACTATAGCACTTTGTCCAAAGATAGGACTAGTTTTATATTAATTTAGCAAAAAAAATTACAAGGTAAATATTTTGAAAAGGCAGCCTCTCTAGTAATAAAGAAGACATCAATTATTTAGTGAGAGAATCTAAAACCACTTTCTGAAGCTTTACCTCTTTACATAGGACATGTTTTTGCTTGATCTGTGGCCAAGGGAAAGCAAACACTGATGTGGACACAAGACACAAAATGTACTCTGAATAATCCTGAAAGTGACTTTATAAAGCAGAACTTGCCATTTTTAAAAGCCAGTAGCATTGCTCATGTTAAAATGGTCCTCAACTGTCTTCTATAAACATTAGAACATTATAGAAAAGAAAACATTCAAACAGAACTTTGATCAAATAAAACTGTGTCAGTTTCATGGAAAGAATAGCTGTTGCTTAAGAATGCATTACTTTAGTTACTCTCTATTAAAAGGACAGTGCTAATGTCTAATGGTATTATTTCTCTCAATGCTTTTGTGAAAGGAAGGGTAAGAGACATTTTCTCTTCATATTTTGAATTAAAATTATCAATTTATCCCAATAAGGCAATAAAGGCAAATGTTATCACACTTTTTTTTAATGCCCAGTAGTTGGAATTTCAGTAGGTGTTGCTTTCCTCACCACTGTAGGAGAAACAGCACCTGCCAATATTCTATAACTCTTCATTTTTGCATCACAACGTCCTAAATTCCACTTTTCTATCAAGTTCTGTAGTCAAAGACCCTGGTCAAATGACACAAATGAAGGTAGAATTTTGCAATGCCTCTGTGCTGCAAATTAATTTTGAATCCATTTTAATTGTTTGGGGAGGAAATAACACTTCCCAAGTACAATATAAAACATCTAAAAGCCTAATGGTGAGTTTGCCTTCGATGCATGCTGTAAATTCTCCTATTTTTCATTCCATCCTATGGATGAGGAAAAGGAGATTGCCTGTTTGATTCGTTTGTTCTTTTAGAGTCAATTAGCATCATTTACACTTACCATTTATGTCACAGCTTGTCCCCCCCCCTTTTCTGCTTCTGATAAAGCTAGAGAGTCTCATAAATATTTACAACAATTCTGGGCCTACACTCTTTCTTTTAATATTAATTCTATAGAAAGACATATTTCTTTCCCTCCATATATCCTCCTGTCTGCTTTAGCTCTGCCACTACATCTCACTAAGCACAGTTTTGAAGCTCCTTCCTATTTATGGGCTTTTATCATTAGAGATAAATCTTTACATGGTGGATTTGTGACTTTTGGGTCCTCCTCCCTGAGGATTTCCTATCCTCAGCAGCACAGATAAAGGAATGATGGCTATTAATTGGCTTCTTTCAGAATGAAATAAATACAAAGTGAATGCTGCATCTATATTTAGGCCACAGAGAAAGATAGACTGCTAAATTACCAAGCTGAATTAATGTAGTTGTGACCAGGATCAATTTAAGGAATTTGGAGACCCAATGCAATTGCCAACCCTGCAAGGTAGACCAGATCTGAAAATGATTTTCACAGGAAGACTAAAATAATATTTTATTGGTAGTTTATAATAACAGAATCTTAGAAGTTTGACTGTGCTTTTCCTCCTTTCCCTTTTGTACCCAGGGTCTCAGGGCATTTCTTAATACTGTTTCTATTCCCAACACTTAAGAAATGCTTTTGTCTTTGTTGCTTACATAATAGTTTCAGTATGTTTGCTTCAGAATGACTTGCCAAGCTTTCTATAACACCCAACACACAACCCTAGTGTGATACTGCAGATGGGTTCTTCCAAATGAGATGGAAGCGGAAACTATAGTAGATTTGTTTGCATTGACAAACTAATTTGGGAACACACATCATGTAGT